AGCCTGGGAAGGGATTAGTGAGAGAGCTGATTGCACTCTGGACAGTAATGTGAGAAGGTGGAAGGAAGAAAAGTGTTGAGAGGACAAAGAATCAGAGACTGGTCAGACCATTAGAACATGGACAGAGAGAGAGAAAGAGTGGGGGGGGGAGAGAAAAAGGGGAGAGGGCAGTAGAAAGATAAAGAGAGAGGGATAGGGAAAGAGGAAGAGAGAGACAGAATGAGAGAGGGAAAAAGGGGGGAAGAGGAGGGAAAATGGGGGAGAAAGGAGGGAAAAAGGAGAGGGGGAAGAGAGGGGAGGAGCAAAGGGGAGGGAGAGACAGAAAGGGGGGAAGAGAGATAAAGAGAGAGGAAGGAGAGGGAGAGGGAGGGATAGGGAGAAGGGAAGAGAGAGATGGGGGAGGAGGGAGAGGGAGCAGGGAAAAAGAGGAAGGATAAGAGAGAGGGAGGGGAAATAGAGGGGGCAGAGGGGAGAGACATTGACAGAGAGAGAGAGAGATAGGAAGGAAGAAGAAGTGGGGAGGGAGAGGAAGGGTCAGAGAGGGGGGAGAATGGTGGGGGAGAGAAAGACAGAGACAGAAAGAAAGAGAGAAAGGGGGAAAGAGATAGAGAGGAAGGAGAAGGGAAGAGAGATATGCACATAGAGAGAAGGGGGCTGGGAGGCAGAGGGAGAGGGAACATGCCTAGGCTCCCAAGTTTCAAGCTGACAGGTCCCCAAGGCAACAGTACTCTTTTAAATTTCTATGGCATATACAATAACACAGCATATCCCTATAATAACACTAACTGAGGGTGAAATTACATTCCTCAACAAATATGATAAAAAGCCAGATAAAACCCAATTGTCCCCTAAGGTAAATAATGAGGAAGAGCACAGTTACATAGTATTTGAAATGTTGACAAAGTACCTTGTGTCAACCAGCCCGGGGAGGCAGACATTACTATCTCCCTTTTTACAGATAAAGAAACTGAGGCTCAGAGTTCATAGGATCAGAGTTGGGAGGGACCTTACAGCCTAGCTAGATACTCCCCTCACTTTACAAATGGGGAAACTGAGGCCCAGAAATGTTGCCAAGGTTACAAAAGTGTTAAGAGGCAGAGGTGAGATTTTAAATGACTTGCCCAGGGTCATCCAGAGCTGGAACTCAAACCAAGGCCCCCTGATTTCTGGCCCAGTGTCCTTTCTGCCACATCACTCAAACCATAGGATTTAATGTCAAAAGGGACCTTAGAGGCCTTCTAATCTCACCTTCTCATTTTACAGGATTTACAGAAGAAGCAAGGGCCAAGAGAAGTTAAGTGAGCTGTCCAGCATCACCCAGATATTTAGTGCCCAAGTCAGCATTCAAACTCAGGTCCTTAGACTCCAAAAAGCATCATTCCTCCTCCAATACTACAACTACACAATCCATTAGAATGTAAGCCCCTTGAGGGCAAGAACAGTTTTTGCTTTTGTCCTGGTATCAGCAGCACTTAGTAAAATGTTTATGGTTTAAAAGTCTCTCCCTCAATGTGTGTCCTCTCCCAAACCAGCGACATAAAAGGGTTCCATTAGGCTTTGCATCTCATAAAGATACTTACTTCAAGTACACAATGCATTTTAGAGACATTTCTCACCACCACCACCACCACCCCCTTAAAGAGGAAGGAAAGGAATACAGCCAGGTCCCCATTGCTGGTAACAACGAATCCTCTGAAGTGGTCAAATGTATTCAATTTTGTACTATTTGAAGTTACAATTTGGTAAAATACAGTAATTGGTTCCAGCCCAATAGAAATATGCAGTGTAAATTCTAATAATGCGAACACTTCAGGGGGTTTATTATTCACACTCTTCAGGACCTAGCTGTACTTTTTGGATCCCCAAGGTAGAATCGGGACCCAGGAGCCCTGACTCCCAGTGCAATGGTTTTAAAAATAAACAGAGGGTCTTTCTCCCTTCAGTTGCTACAGTCCTATGTAGACATGCTTGTGTTTAGGTTCCAAAGTATTAATTCTTGAAAGTGGAATAGCCTGCAATATCTAGACCTTTAGTTGCCAGGAAAAACATCCTTCTCCATTGCCGATCCCAGTTCCAAGAATGCTGCCTTGCTCATCTTTGGAGAGCCCCAGGGCCCTCCTTTTCCAGTCCTCCTGCCTTTGAAAATCACCTAAAAACTAGAGAAATTGCTTATGAACCGTCCTTATGAGAAGGAAAGGATGGAGGGAGGGCCTCCTACTAAACTCCTTTTGTTTCAAAAGGGAGATGATTGCTTGAGCTTCTCCCATTTTGGAATTTCGTGTGTGTGTGTGTGTGTGTGTGTGTGTGTGTGTGTGTGTGTGTGTG